AATGACAAACGTGTCATCGACATATCGTACCCAAAACTTGGGGTTAACTAGTAGCAGGGCCATGGTTACTAATTTTTGCATTGCGACTTCAGCTAAGAAGCCAGAAATGGCTGACCCCATCGGGGCTCCTTTTATCTGCTGATAATGTTGTTGTGCGAACGAAAAATTAGTTTCCAGGCAGAGATCCAAGAGTTCGAGCAGGGCAGATGCATAAAAGTCGATATCGTGAGAATTAAGTAGTTCTTTTGTGTATTGCCTAGCCAAATCCAATGGTATCGACGTGAAGAGAGAGTCGACATCAAAGGATGCCATTATTTCGTCTGCGGCAATTTTGAGTCCTTGCAATTTGTTTAGGAATTCCCTAGAATTGTTTATCGATGTTTCGCAACCTTTTGTCAAGGGATGTAGCTTTCGGAATAGCCATTACGAGATCTTATAATTAGGAGCGCCGATTAAGGATACTATCGGTCGCAATGGTACTTCGGGCTTGTGTACCTTAGGCTGTCCGTAGATCTTGGCTGTGTTTGGTTCGGTTTGTTTTAAGAACTTGGCAACATCTACTGATATTTGTTTCGTTTCTGTAAGACGCTTGAGTACCTTTTCAATAGCTGCATTCTGTTTTTTAGTGGGATCCGTGTTCAGAGGTTTGTATGTTGACCTGTCCTCTAGCAATGAGAGCATCTTCGTATCATAGTCAGCCTTGTTTAAGATGGCGGTTGAGCCTCCTTTATCTGCAGGAAGGATGATGATGCTTTTGTCTGTTTTAAGAGACTTTAGTGCTTTCTTTTCTTCTTTTGATACCACTGAATAGAGGGTTCGGTTCTTTAGGGCGTGTACGGTGTTGTCTCGGATTGTAAACTGCTCATCTTCTGTTAGAGTTTTTGCTGATATTATGGATTCCAAATTTGCGAGGAAGTCCAGATATTTTGAATCGGTAAGGTTGTACTTTATTCCCATCGAAAGTACGTGTTCTTCAGTTGTTGCGAGAGTCCGCCATGATAGGTTTGTTATATTAGTTGCGTTGTTCTCGCTTCTGAAAGACCGTTTAGTAATTGCCATCCATTTCTTGTCTAAAACGTTTCCCTTCTTCTGTCATTTACTGTCGGAAACACCAGTAATTTTCTCTTTCAAAGATTCAAAAATGTTTGAAGGAAGTTTGGTTTGGCAGAAATATATGGTCCAATTGTCGTAGAAAAGGTTAGCAGAAGCCTCGCGTACCAATAGTACTACGAGGATGATATTAAGAAATAAATGCCTGATTACTTCTTCCGACAAGTACCAACATGGATAATTAGATCTTGACAACCTGTCACTCGATCTTAGAGGTATAGTGATAAATCAGAAAGATCAGCCTGATATATGCCGTGTAGCAAGCGGAAAGATTACTTGATATTTACTTCTTAAGATAGTCTCTTCGCGATTACCGACAAGTTCCTTACCGTAATATGAGAGGAGCATATGTTGAGTAATTGCGTCAAGGCCTTCGACAGTTTTAATTTTCGGGTACGTAGGAAGATATTCTACTTGATTAAAAAACGTTTTCAGTCTTTCATTTTCTGCATCCTTAGCCGATTTACTCGTAAACATAATTGGAAAAAGTAAACACATGATCCGCAGCTCTTTAGAGTGCACTTAATTTTAACATGAGTTGAAGCAATTCAATATTTTATACCATAAGTTTGCAGCTTTAGATTGGCTCTACGTACAGCTGACAGCCTGCGAAATTCCTTGAACGTAGTCGCATATATAAAAAACGCAAATTTTATTTGTTGTGATAAACAAAGTGTCTCGAATCTTTTTTAATCAAGCAAATATTTTAGCTTAAATGCCATTTGGTAGACTAAGTAAATCCACAAGTATTTCTGAGGCTTCTAGTGCTAGTG